AATATAGAATATATAGAATATAGAATTCTATATATATATAGAATTCCTATATATATAATAGATATAATATATATAATATATAATATATATAAAATTCCTATATGAACCTTTTTATATGAACTCTAATTATATAAACTAGTTGTCTCCTGACGAGTTCATACTAAACAGAGTTCTACTCTCTATTTCTATTCAATTAAAAAGAAAAAAGAGTGCAAGTAAGTTACCACCTTCTTATCACTTTTTGTCCTCTTTCATTATTATTATTATCGTTATTTAGAAGAAATAGCATTGCACGAAGAAACGAATCGAGAGCATGCGATAACGTGGCATATGTCAACGCGATAAATTAACAACGATTGCCAGATTGATATTGCTAATTGAAGTTTATCACGACATATTTATGTATGAGAGCAACATGCTTGAAAACGCAATGAATAGTAGCAACAGAAATTTGGCGGCACGGCGTTGGAAAGCGCATTAATTCGAATCAAATGCCATGAATTCCAACTACGCATCAAAGGCAGTCACGTCGAGGCTGTTGGCGTATTACCGCGTGTCCCGATAAACGCATGATAACTACGGTTAAAGACGGCGAAACAAGCGTGGCTTTGTATTTAAAACGATCAACGATCGATTAACCGAGAATCAAATGATCAAATAAATTCAACGAGTCTGAAAGTTCTGAGCCAAGCCAGTGAGCTCGTTAAGAGCTATAAGAACGTACTTTGAGAATAATAACAATGTCTAAGGGGAATCACACGGTGGAACGATACCGGATTTGTAATAATTCCTGTTTTCTCTTTCACGGTAAAGTTTTATAATCGCCGATCGTTCACTTCAAAGCGGAACCCAAACGAAGAGAATATACAAGAGTGAGAGAATTTGATCACCGATGCTGAGCAACGGAAGAAAGGAGCAAAGAGTGAGGAGAAATCCTCAGTTAATAGTTGGTAATTAAAATAAAAAGAGGCAGACGAGTGGATAGATTGATTGCAGCTTGGTTAAGATTTATATCCAATCTGATAAGTAAACGGATGTAAACTGATGAAATAAGAAATAGGAATAATAAGCTTTCTTTCTTTCTTGTCTTTTATCTCCAATTTCCATATTTCGGTCAAAACACATTCAATGCTTTACGAGCTTCTGTTTAACGAGAAAAATAAGAGCCTATTCGTTAGATGATATTCATAAATCACAATGAACTTTATTGCTTGCGAAGTTGAAAATTTACATTGCGAATAAAGTAGTGTAATGAATCGATTTATATCGTCTGTCCGAAAGAAAATCTGTATGTTTTCAAACATATTCAAGACATAAATTTGTGCTTATAAAAATGTAATAACCCGGATATTTTCACTTGATCATGCTAATAGTAAACATCGCCAGCAAACTAATTGAGCGATTGTTCATTTTCTTTTCTTTCGTTTTTTTTATCATGCTTTCATTCTCCGTATTTCTTCTTCTTATCTCGCGATTTTCACGCAATGTACTTGATACTTGTCTGACAAAAGAGGAATGTTAATCACTATGAAATGTTCTTGTCGTGAACGAATTAAAATATCACAATTGCTTGATTAATTCACCAAGGAGAGGAAGGGCGAGGGAAATTTAATTCTCTCTTAATTAATAATAGTATCGTTAATTAGTTGAAATCGTGAATTATATTATTATAGTTGCAAAAATACATCATCATATTGAACGGTATTTGAGAAAAATACTGCTGCATAAGACGATTTATGTAAAAGTGTTCACAATCATGAAAATGCGGAATATATATGCAGATACGAGTATGAACCGAGTATGAACGGAGTAAGGAACATGGTGTCTTCCGAGTTATAGTCGTAACGAATGTTCTCGATTGTGC